AGCTGGGCACTGTACAGGTATATATACACAGGTGAGAACGTGTACCAGGTGGTCGTCATGTTGTGAATTACAACCCTATATAGTATCGACTCCGTGTATCCTAATAAGACAATAGACCCCGCCCCCTCTCGCGCCGTCCCTCATTCCCACTCTACAGCCTCAGCACTCGTAACACCTTCAGTCCCCTGAAACTCGATGACATGTGTTTGGGAAACTTTGATATCTGAAAAAAATTATATTTGGGTAGTCTGCTGTATCCCGATCTTATTCCGACCCTCAATCACATTTCACACAGTAATCACCTTGAACGTAAATGTCACATAAACTTCTCAATTATTGAAACGGAAACTCTAAAGGGTATTTTTATTTTATCGAAACTTAAAACTCGTGGTTTATACACTATTTTATTGATATGATTCAGCCTTCCTGTCCATAGGTTTCAGTTTTGATAAAAAAATACCCTTAAGAGTTTCCGTTTCAATAATTGAGAAGTTCCTTATGTAGAAACTTTACCGATAGCCTCAGTCTCATTTAGGATTAACCCGGTAAGTTTTTTTCTCCGAAGCATGTTTTGCACAATCCTACTACTTTACTTTTACCTGACATGTGCTTGAATCGATTGGTCACTTCACCATCTCACCGAAATAAAAATTAAAAAAAATCGGGCTTGAGCTGGAAGTTAGACGCTTAAATCAATACCCGCCTTTTTAATGTACATCGGATGAGTAAAACTGAAATCATGAGTCACCATTCAACAGAACACGTGTTAACGTGACGTCATTCATACATGCTAAACTAAAAAAAATCTCATACAAGAAACTACACCGACTTGACTTCCGTGTTGTACCTAGGACTTGACCAATTATAGCAGACAAGTTTGTTTAAAATGTCTAATGTTACTATCATCAGTTGTATCACGGACTTAGATAATCTAATTCCGTGGTTGTATTCCAACAATATTTTATTTTTTTATGGTTGTAAATTGTATAAAAATTTGAGAAACATTTTTGTGTTAGTTCTCATCTTTGTCGACTCGATTCACAGCTAGCCGTCATCAATAGCCTGTCAACGAAACGGAAAGCGAAATCTATGTGCCAGCCTTGATCTTTTTAAGGGTTTCTTTAAATATTTGTTTATTTTTTTTAAATTTCCATATACGTCATAATTATATATAACTCGCCAAATAACCAAAAAGAATGATGAGTCATATGGCGAGCTTCATGGATGGAATGTGAAATTCCTCATGTTTTATTTCCAACAAAAGTTACACCATTTATTCCAAGATTGAAATAAAACTACTAGATAAATAAAAAATGAAAAATGTAATTGTTTGCATCCAAATATCTTTGAAAATAAAAACGGATAGGTATAACAGTATGTATGGTAAATACAAGCAATCCGACCGCGTTTCTATATAAAATTCAAAATTTCTTTGTGTGGTATAAGACCTTTCTTTCTTTCAAATTCAAGGGTTCTTAGTTTTTACCTTTCCCCTTCCGTAACAACGAATAACATGGCAAGCGATAGTGCTTGAAAATATGAGTGATGCATAATATATGGGTCCAAACTAAGTCCGAAACTCTTTATATTTTTAATTATTCTAGAGCTTAGCTGGAATTTTCTTTAGTCGAGGGTATTTCTTATGGAAGTTTAAATTTAATACTGGAAAATATTATATATATAAAAAATATTTGTCGAAAATCAGCAGAACTCCATCTTCATAGTAACACAATTATAGAAATTTAATTGAAAGAAATGATATTCGCTATCCGTCAAATATCTGTGTTTTCTTAGTGTTTTCTTACAACTTTCATAGGGGACGTTAAGAAAATTACCTGCTAAGGTATTGAATGCATTTGTAACTATCTGTGGAAGCATATTAACCGTATCTCATGATATCGGATTTTTTTCTGGTGTCACAATGGTCAAGTAAGTAAATTGATATCTATATAATCCTGTTTGTTAGTCGTTGGTTTACACCAAAGGATCTCACTCGTTAATCGCACAGGTCAAGAGCTTACGGCAACCTCTTGTGTCTCGTCTCGTTGTCCTAGAGTCTGATCCAATCATATCTTGATAAACTGCGAACACTCGTTTAGTTTAATTAGGTAGATTTTCAGTCGATAACCAAAGAAAGTGGTTTGTGTTTTTAAGAATATAATGTAATTATTCTTGGATCATCATTTTACATTTGTTTAAAAAGTAAGTTTAAGTGAGAGTCCCGTTCTTACTACATGTGTCTTCCTGACAGTTGCAAACTTTTAATTTGGAACTATATTCACAACATGTGTACTTGTGGTATACGAATATTGATAAGTATATGTGTGAAAGTTACATGTAAATTGGCAATTGGTTAGAAAGACTATTAGGAAAGAAAGAATAGAAAGACTAATACACCTCTACATAATAATAATAATAATAATAATGATAATAATATAGCGTTATAGGGTTACGCATGCTTGTTTAACTTGTTATTAGATATACAGTGCATGGGTGTTTTTTTGAACTTTTACAACTCAATCAAAATGTGTTTATGACTATATGCTAGGAGACTTTTTTCATGATTTGAATTTATAATTGTGAAAGAAAATATTTACATTCTAATGCATAATGGAATGGCACAGAAGCTTAGCTCTGTCCACTCTAAATAAATTTAAAACGAAAATAGCACACGATGGTCAAATCAGAGGTATATAAAAGGAGGATTATCAATATATTGATAAGAGCCACTTTATTAAGGAAATATTTGTCAAATGACTGATGTTTAGCTTACTAATCTTGTGCATCCCAGTGAGTGACACCTAGGTTTACAGGGTAGTCGGATGGCGCAGTGGATAGCGCAATCGCCTTTCACCCAGACGGCCGGGGTTCGATTCCCCGATCGGATGTGAAAAGGTATGGTATCGGATGTCCGACCACGTGGAATCTACTGAAAATCAAGCGCGGCGGGTAGCGAAACGTTGCGAAGCGAGCGACAATTTTTACCCAAACTATATACTGGCACTTTGATTTATAATCTTTTCGAAATAATACATGTTTGCTCTTCGAAAAAAAACAACTTGTCATGCCAAAAGATAACTTCTGAAAATGAATTCATTATAATAGCTTGAGTAAAACTGTAGAGAAAACTCACCATGAGATCGCATTCATAAAGGAAAATGACATGGGTTATCTTGTTTATGCAAGAAAAAGTTTGCATTTTTCTGTATTTAAACTTAACTGTATCGTGAGTGACAATGGCAATGAAATGAGGCCTTTACAAAACTTGGGCGAAAATATTTCAAAAACAAATTACAAAACATAGCTGTTCGCCAGCTTATGGATTTGCCGATGTATATAGATGTTATTGGCAAATATTAACATATCGTCTAAATTTAATATAGTTGACATTTTTTTTTGTATATCATTTTATCATTTTAGAGCGTCGTATAAAGTCAGGTGACAGAGAGCGATTGCAGTATGATAGGTATGAATCAATATTACCCCAGTACAGATCGGTCACTCACTCACGATGCAAACCGCTGCGTAACAGGTCAAATGAGGCCAGTGTCCGTCCTGTGTACACAAGAGCACTAAAACTGTCACGTAGTTACGTAGCACACACACGTGTGACCGCACCTGTAGAAATTGGGTAAGCCAAAAGCGAATAGGACTTGTCGGCGATGTTAGGTGCCAAAAGCAGTAAAAAGTGGAAATCCAAATATGTCTAAACTACTGCTTTAAACCATGCCAGTAATTGTATGAATTTCAAACCATATCGGAGAACTGGTTAATTACAAAATAATTATGAATAAATTGTGTATATTATGAACCGTGCCAATGTACTCTTCAACGTGGTCTTCATAATTTGAACTATGTATGACGGATTTAGAAGGTACTTCCCTCTTTTATTACCAAATTTGCTTTTAAAATGTACTTCTTAGAATGAAATCCTCTTCCTGTGTGAATTGGAACCCTCATTTGATTTTTTTTTTTGCATGTACCAATAGTATACATGTGTTCGTAGAGATATTAAAATTAGTAGAGAAATCTGGCGCAGTTATCTTTTGGAAAGATTCGAACACTGCCTTCTATAACGAGACGACCGGGTCTGAAACTCGGTATGGGTCCATAACACTTCCAAGGAAGGATTCGTTTCATGAATTCCTTAGATAAGATGATCGTGTCTCGGCACATTTTAAGACAAAAGTTATATTCTTGGACACGACAGCTATGAGGGACATTTTTTAATAGTCAGACAGTTTACATATGGAAGTAGTTTTATTATAGTGGGATATCAGTTTTGAGCACGTAAAAGAACATGGGTACTATCGTTTGACCAATAAATTACTAAAACTGAATCCGAAAAGCATTGCAGGTAGTCCTTACAATTGTCTAAAAGTGTATGGAAATGCTCCTATATTTATGGTTAACACAACCATGCGTTTTTCAATAGCATGATTTGGGTCCATGTTTGTCAATTAAAATGTCATGAGCAAAGCTATTTAACGATTAAGAACAAAATTCCACATCTAGTACATACTTATTATGTCATCAGCAAAGATATTTTAGGTATATTAATTTTTATACAAAAGAAACAAATCTTCTTTATATAAAGTTCAGCTTTACTTCATCTTTTCATTGGGATGTCGTGATTTCATTGTTTAAAAAGTATATATTTAATTTTTCTCAGTATATTTCCGACAGGAAGTTGACTTACCAATGTCCTTGCCAATGTTCTAGATTCATTAAATATGCAATTGTGTAGGGGCGTTATCAACAGGATGGAATAGCCAGGAAACTTTTGCATAGTAAAATTAGTTTTCTGAAGTAATTTAGACAATAAATGTTTCCGTAATAAATACTTATATCCCAACATTTACTTTGGTAAATAACTGTGCCGTTCTTTTTGCGTGTTTTCGCTTTCAATCACTCCGAATTTGTGACAAGACGTCTAGCTATAAAGCGCGGGAAATTCAGGCAGTCGGAATTATAACACAATACGCATGCGCAATCCACCAAGATTCTTCATGGCGGACACAGAGAACAGAAACAAACAAGAGGTTAGGATACTACCGACCGCATGGCTCTTTATGGGGTTTGTGGAGTCAATATGACTATACGATGCTTTTGTATGAGTATATCTTGGGGGTGCTGTATATCCCTTTCCTCTGAAAACTCTCATCTTTTTGTCCCAGCCGACATTGTTTACATCGTGACCCGAACCTTCCTCGGTGTCTCGCCAAAGGAAGTAGAGCAGTGCGAACACACTGTTCATCATTAATATGTCGCCTGTCTGTCTATTCTGACCACACATATCGAAAGACGACACGTCTCTCCACTTGTGTATTTGCTCTGATTGTTTATAGTTTAATGTTTATTCGTAAACTTCACATGTTCGCCAATGTTTCTTTGCATTGGTGTTGCCATTGCGAGTTGTTTCAGCCGAACAGGAAACAACGGGGCAGGTGGGGCATGGTGATGTGATTTGTGAATATTGTTGACCGACAATGTCCGTCATCATTGCACACATGCTTTGTCAAATAATATCACTCATAGTTGTTTATTTTCATTTCTTAGGCATAACAGTTTACAACTTGTGAACACGTGTTTGTTACACTGTGAAGCCCTACACTTGTGTATTGTACACGGGGACCTACAGCATTTGTAACACCGGTATGCATATGTGCGGTGTCAAGTGAAGTGTAGACTTGGCAGTATTGAAACACATGTGAAATGTCACCATAGATTAAGTATGCTATTCCATTTATAAATATTGTGTAAAACGCAATACAATGTACCAGACCAGTAGCACTAGATAAAATTATTTATTTATTGGAACAATGTAAAACTATTTGTTGCCATTAACATATAGGCCTAAAGTTATATGTCTTAGAAAAGAATTCCAAAAAACAATTTGTTCTTAAAATGAAAGGTCAAATCTACTTGTCGGAATAAAATTCAACTTACCAAAAATAAATAAATTTTGAATTGCTATGTTCAGCAATGTAACTAGATTAGTAGACTGTTGACACAAAAATTCTTTTCGTAAATTTTAGTTAGATTGATGAATTTAATTAATTATGATGGAATGGAGCAAAGGAATTGGCTACAATGTTTATGAAATATTAAAAAACACCGCTGATAGCCAAATTAAAACAAAACTGTGTAGGGGAGATATCATTTATCCTAATGTATCTGCAATGGGATCAGGATGCCAAATGGCAATGTTAAAGACCAACAATTTGTTCTGCTTCACAGGGGTACTGAGTAACATTATTTCATGGATCGTGAACTAATTCACTATATAAACTAATGAAATTCATTGAACTTGCATGTTTAAATACTTTCTTTAAAATTGTCTACAGACTATGTTTTTAGTTTATCTTCACTTGAATCAAACTCCTTACGAAAGTTTGACTGCATAATAACATAAATTTAATTATGAAATGCATAATCCATTTGTTTTTATGCCCCCTTCATAAAATGGGGGGCATATAGTGTTGTCCATGTCTGCCCCGTCCTGTCCCGTCAAACACTGAAATTAATTTCACACGCTGACGGGGGCATTTATGTCTTACAGACATTTTTCCAGGGTTCGAATTTAACCAGATTTTCTACTTGCATTTTTTCGTAAGTGGTATTTTTTCTTACTTGCTAAATGAACCAACTTGCAATTTGCATTTTTCCAACTTTATTAGACATGTTAACTTAGAATTAAATTCTAAAACAACACAGTATTAACTGACATTTTAAATTATGGTCATTGGGATGTATACATGACGCAAACCTTGCTGTGAAAGGATGCTGGCCTGCTCAGGCTATTCTAAGATATAGCATAGAAACTGCATCTTAGTTTCTTGCTCCATATGGTAGAGTATTTGGTCTTTTCTGTCTTTGTCCCGACAACCACCATCTTGTCACAGCAGGTTTTGGGTCATACTCTCTAAGGGCAACATCAGCAACTTGTCCTTTTGTTATTTTGCCGGTGCAGCGAGCTGTGAAATTTAACCTTGGGAAACCCCAATACAACCACGTGACTAGTCAAGCCTATCGTATTTGCGCTATAAATAGTAACTAAAAATAGATTACCGAAAAACATCATGCATGCGGTAAACGTCATCATTATTTGTGCAGGTACTTCCTAACGGACATACGCACGGGACATGTATCAATTGTAAACTTCCGTTAATGAAAAAACCCGAATCATTCGTTCGGCGAATGACAAGAATGCGCTTAAATGACCGCGAGTTGTCAAAGAAAGAATTTGTAAAGACCAACCATTAGAAATGAGGATTATGCAGCCCAAAATTTTCACTCGCAAAAAAATGCTGGTGTCTGAAATTTCTACTTGCAGTTTGCAATTTGCACTCGCTTTTCGCAAGTATGCGAGCTTAAATTCGAACCCTGTTTTCTGGTTAACATATATACCGTAAAAACGTAATTTGCGCACTTTTGTATAAGCAATTTCAAGGGTTTTTTTTCAAGAAAAGATTGATGATTCTGGCAGACCACAGTCTTGAACACCAGAGTTTATCTCCGTAATGTAATTGTGTGAAATCCAGTTGCTAACAATCATATTTCTTTAACTCCATGCTACTTTTTTTTTTAAACAACCATTTTTATGGGGAAAGGACTGTAGTTCTTAAAGATCAGTCATCTGTTACATCTTGCAACAAATGTCAATTAGAAACCGTATTTATTGATAATTTGTATCAAAGTTTTAATTAATGTCATGCCATGATTGGTCGGTCCCTGATTACTCCCAACATGTTGACAGAAAGAACCAAGCTGTTTCCCATTGGAAGCAATATACATGTTTTAGTAATAGTTCTTGGTGTTGTGCTTTCAAAATTGTGAAAGATTTCAGGCTGAGAAAGACTAATAAGAATAAGTAGACTCAATTTATAGATACCCAAACTTAATACAAAACTGCTTGCTAGCATTTAAGTATCATTCAACGCGGGTGGGCAGTTTTACCGAATGTTGATCTAAACCCTTAAAACACGTAATATCAGCTCCCGACTAACCAGGATGAGTACAGGTCCAAACTTGCATCCTGAGGCTGGTTTCCGGGTCCCTACGTTTTTTATTAGGTCTCAAAGAAAAATGCTTGTCAAAAAGCTGTAAGACTTTTGGAGATAGGTTGAAAATCCCTATAGTTTAGTGCCAGGCTAAAATACAGGTTGAAAATATTTGCACAGAAAAATGCAGTAGCTGCTTATACTTATGATACTTATACTTATACTTATGATTGATAAGTAAAAAAACCCGTTTGTAGTGAATATAGTGGAGATGTAACGATTCACCAATGCAACTGTGAATAAATACTATTCTTAATGCTGATGCATCATGACATTCGCCGAAAGTATTGTGATACTTTAAGAAAAAAGTTATGTATGGGTGACTGCCTTTTTATTAACCAATTTGTAAGAATTCATTTCCTCAGTGCTATACAATTAATAGAGAGATAGATCACTTTTAAAAACAATTTATTCAGCATTAAATACAAACACTAAGATATATGTGTAATATCAAGTAGGTCGGTTTCAAATCAAGAAAAATTATAGTAACAGATTTGTACAAAAAGTTGCGACAAGTATCACAATATGATATGAATCATGATATATGTATCGTATTGCACAATCCTTGGGATACAAATCACTAGAATATGGTATGCTAGTATTCATAGGATTTTTTTGCACTGGTCTGGGAGACAAGTAGACATAAATATTTATTTGCCTGTAGAGTGAATCTACTGGCCCCAGGCATTGGACCCTGCCCTGGCTGCAGCAGCTTAGACGAGTAATTGAATGAAAACAATCTGCTATGTAACATTATCTGCTGAATAACTGATACAGTGACCATTTCAGTATTTGCAGAATAATATATACTGCTTTAATAATGGGAATGTCAGCAGTGTTTTTGTGACTATATAACTGGGTTTGGGAAAAGGTCCTATTCCCAATACAAGTAGAGGATTTTTCTCTAAGGATTGGGCTTTTTAATTATATTCCCAATTGATCAAAAACATGAGAAAAAGTTATCTGGTAAAAAAAAAAAACTACTCTCTTTTAAAAAAAAATAAAAAAAATACCCAAAATACCATGGAAAACAACTCAATTTGGGATGGTCACAGGGAAAATCCTGGAACTTGAGAGCATCAGGCCATTTCACCAATTTTAAGTCAATATCAAAATCTTGAGGGGCAATCCTATGTAAAATTATAGGAAAATTGGAACATGGAGGGGTCAATTTCAGTTTTGAGGCGTAAATGGCCCCATGGTCCACTCCAAGATTATCCCTGGCTGTGTCGTAGACTCCATATCTTTGCCATTATGAGAAACTGTCAAAACAATACATGTTGTTTGAGGAAAAATGTATTTAAATCCAAATGCAGCATACATCATTAACCTTGCAGTATTATCGAGGCTTATCAATACTTTCTGTTCAAACTGACCAAATGAAAATTTTAACCTTCCAACTTTCTGTTCAAGTACATATGAGATGTATACAAATATGATTTGAACAGACCAAAATCAGAACTGAACGAGTCATTTTGGCCTGCTACCAGTTCTTAATGAAAACCCAGATTACCTCCTGCTTGAAAAAAAAGTAGGCTGTAGTTACTAATGCAGATATTAGTTTGTTAATAACATGTAAATTACCAAGTTAGTACATAACATCTATTATGGAAGTTATGGTACAGATTTGTTTTCTAAGGCTGTTTTTCTCATCTGTACAGTACTAAATTGCAGGAAATGTTCATTTTTTTGCAATGAAATAGAACAATTTGCTTCTGACAAATGTAACGTTTACTTTTACCACTTTTCTGAAATATTTGAAGTGGGCAGAGCTTTTTAATGGTGATTTTGGAACATTCAAGAAAAATCATTGACATTGGAATAGGTGAAAAATTTCAATAAAAATCTGTTAAATTCTAAGCATAAATCTGATGGAGGCGCGTCAACTGCATCCCTTGCCCCATCCCACAGGCTAGGTCCATGTTCGCCATCAGCAAATAATAATATTTTAAAAAGTACTTCAACAATAGACCACGTTGGCTTCAGTAACAAGCAAACCCCAATAATAGCGTTT